AAGTCGTCATGGTTAATGTGCCAATACCGAAAATGTATGGGAATGGAGTTGCTTTGTTGATTTATTTCTGAGGTGTGCCTCGTTAAAACCTTCCTTGGCCAAAAACCCTTTTCTTTAGTGGGAAAAAAGGCTGAGGAGGAAAAAAGAGTACATCACCTGAATTTACAAGTTAAGAGAAATAAAATTTGAGGTGGGTGGAATTCCAAGTTCCAAATTTTTCTTTGGAGGGGTCTGTTCTTGCTTCTCCCCGTAATCGCCAAACAAGGTCGCCAACTTTAAATGTTCGTGGCCTGACCTTGGTCTTGCCTTCCTTGTGGTTTGTCGCGAATTGCCTTGCGGAACTCGGCATGCTCCTCCATCTAGATGTACCCAGCAGCGCGAGCTTGGAGCTCGTCCATGTTGGGAAGAGGTCGTCAGCAAAGGCTATCGACGAAAGGGCCTGGCTTCAATGCCATGAGCATGGAGTGTAGTGCGACCTCGGGATTCAGATTTTGGATCTTTACTGAGATGGCGGCGAATCGTTCCATGAACGTCCTAAGTGGCTCGTCGTCACTCTGTTTGAGACTGGCCAGGGCAGCTGATGTTATGTGATGAGGTCGGCTCGTCGCATACTGTGCTGTGAATCGTCTGACCAGGGTGCCGAAGCTGTCAATTGACTCGGCAGGTAGTTGGGTGTACCAGTTGAGCGCGGCCCCTTTGAGCGAGGTCGAAAAAACCCTACACAGGATAGCATCCTCATTAGTGTAAAGATTTACCTGTGTGGTATACAGATCGATGTGCTCGTCCGGATCTGTGGTGTCGTCGTAACGGTCGATGTGGAGAGGCTTCCACCCGAACGGGAGAGGTGTTTCCATGATGCCGTCCACAAAAGGATGACGGCGGAAGGTCGCCTGATTTCCCGTGACGTGGGCAGGAGCGTTGCTTACGTCATGTGCTGACCTGTTGGTCCTTATGTGAGACTGATGTGTGGCAGGCCTGAGGGTTGGTGCCCTAGCCGCTGTTGACGGTTGAGAAACTGAATGCCCTTCTTCCTCATGCAGGTTGCTTTGCTGAGGGGGGTGATGCGGATAAGTAGTATATTTGCTTGAAACTTTAAACAAAGACTGCTAGTCCAACTTAAAATACCACACTAACAAGGAACAAACACGAAAAAATGAGAAAGAATACTTCTAATTTAATTTTGAAATTTATATCATGATTATCATAAATTGTACCACTCACTAAAATATGAACTTTGAAAATTTAAACCTTATTTATAAACACAAATAGTGTGCGTGCTTACTGTAATATTTTTACATTACCATTTAATCAATGATAAATTTGTTAACTTTTATCATAATTATATTAAAAAAGAAATTACTATGGTACCTTTCTAAATTAAGATGATTTTGTATAGTCAATTTTTAAAACCAATAAAAATAATTTAAAGTGTATTCTTTTTTGTTCTTTTCACTTTAACTTCTTCTTTTCCCTATACTAAGTGATGTATTATTGCAACATATTCAACTATGAGAGCATTGTTCAGTACATTAATGCATTCCTCAGTTGAAGTGGGATGGACACGTTCCATATATAAGAGATTCGGTCTCCATTCTGCGAACACAAACAAAATATGTAGAAACTTTTATATCTGTTTTAGGAATCAGTGGTAAAGTACGGATATTTGTCAAGACATAAATCAAAACATTGTTTAATATATACTTACTTTTTTGCTACCATAAAATTGTATAATGTTTGTCTAGCTGGTTAGAAGTTGTGTCTCCTAAAAAGGGAAAAAGAAAAAAAGAAGAAAGAAATATAAGCAGAATATGGCATTTGACTAGCATGAAAAGAAAAAATCATGATCATGAATTAATTATACTTGGGCTGTTATAGTGGAGTTTCACCCCTGGAAATGAATTTGATTTCCATAATATTTGTGGTTTAATAGTTCAATTAAAATGGTAAAGATCAAAGACCATACCCATCAACCATCATGCATCCTTCAAACTTCTTGAGTTCTTGTTTCTAATCAAAATAACTTGCTAGGACTAACAAATAATATATTATGTCTGTATTACTTATATTAGTCTGTATAAATATGTTAACAAGTGTCTTATAATGTGAATATAAAACTAAAATTTACACAACTAACATGTTAGCCATTGTAACTATCCTTATGTACTTTTGGTTGGGAGTGATTAGACAGCTTTTTTAATGTGTTTTCAATGCAAGTCATCATGTACTATTATTATAAGAGGATAGACTTTTTAATTGTTTAATTATTTCAGGGTGACTGATAAATTAGAAAAAGAAGTTCACACTCAACGTATTTTGTGATTTATATAAGTTTTTATAATGGAAATTACAATTTGGTCTTTCATCCGAAGTTCCGAACAAAACAACAAATATAGGACACTTGAATTTACACTCGGTCAATAAAAAATGTCACCCTATGTTTATACTCTATGAGAACAAGGATTTTTTTATTTTATTTTTAATATTGGAGTCTGCTATTAGTATTTAGACAGCAAAGGAAATTAATTAGTTAAGTAATTGGAATACATATTATATTCAAAGATAGAAAGTAAATTGTTACCATACATATTTGCCAAAACAGAAATCATGGTTTCTTTTAAGACTATTTTATCATATTTGTAAGAGTTTAATTTATATTCTGCAATGAGTATCCTAAGATAATCTTTACTTGGTATTCACCATAATAATAAGCAAAATCTTGGCTCTTACTACGCCAAGTTGCAAACAAACTGCAAAGTAGAAAATGACCATTAATCATTTCTGCAGTACGTTTTAATTAAAAACACAAACGTTCACTGAAAAGAAACAGTATACAAATGAATTTTCTATCATCACACTTGCAAAACAAATCATATTTGAAACTAAACAGCTAATCCAAGACTTGTTGAATGCGATAATTAATTTAAACATAATAAAAGGAGGACAAAGTAGGAGAATTACCAGGTGATCATCCTTGGTTACTAAATCCATCTATCGTCAACATAAAAGCAAGACTTGTTGTGAAGCTTGTTTCCACGGATAAAGTTGACAACCTCAGGTGAAGCCAGCCTTTCAAAAACAACATCAAGGAAGGCAGAGAGGAACGCACCACCTACGACTGCTGCAGCCATGATCTCAAGAACAAGTGATATTAAGAGTTGAATGAGAAAGGTAAGAAATTGGTTGCAATTAATTCGATTGGTTCTTTATAGATGCAATGATAGTTGACTTCACTAAACTCTCATTACTTTTACTCGCTCAGCTTCAAGACAAAGTGTAGTGATGGTTGGTATCACATCACACCCTATGCAGTTGGATTGGATGCTTTTTCAAAGACTCTTTCCTTTTGCACCACACAAGTAAGATGCTTTCTTGATATTCATATGTTTGAATTTATCTACTGTTAATTTAAAGTAGGTGATATTTATCAAATGCTTTAATTAGTGTTAATATTTTGTTTACGAACTGTGCAAGGGGTAAATGGGTTTTTATATTTTCTATTCAGTTATTGCCACGAAAGTTATATTGACTGCTGGTACTAACAATTATTTTCTTCAACTCCAATTATTTTCTTATCACCAATTATATTCTTCAACCCACCCAGAAACCTGTCAGCACAATATATATTTCTTCAGTTTACTAACAACCTTCCATCAACTTCATCTCTTCTTTGTTTTGTCCATCCTGACCAAAGGTTTTTAATTACTCTTCATGTTACATTCACAAAACCACAAAAGAAAGGCCATATGTGTATGGAACATTTGTCCTGGCATGACTATAAGTTTAAAACAATACTATCATATATATAAAATAAAAAAAAATATAATAAAATAAAATAAGAACTATCATAATATTTATATTTGTTATCTATCGATGTTTGTGACAATAATAATAATGTCTTCTCATCTCATTCTTGGTGTACCTCTTCTCATAAGCGATTCAACTTAACTAGTAGTGTCTCAAAATCCGGAATTGATATTTATACCAATATTTTTTTTCCTTCTGATCATTATAAATTAGGAGAAAAATCAATATATTATTTTGGCATATAGGAATTACATGCGGCATTCCAAATCATACAGCATCTACTGTGTGTTTTCGTTCTGTTAGTGTTGACAATTGAAGGTTATAACCAATTGGGAGGTAACAAATTACAACACTACTCCCACTAATGTAATGTGTTAAACATTTTCAATTGAGTACTGTATTAATAAGCTTTTCAATTTAGGGTTTATGAAAATAAAAATATTTAATGAAACACCTGTATTTTAAAGCATAAAAAATATAATTGGATAAAATTTTTAGCTGAAACTAAATTCAAATTTAAAAATTAAAAACAACATTTATTTAAAAAATTAATAAAAACATATATTATTTTTTAAAAGAGAATATTATTTTTTTACAGGTAAAAGAGTAATTTATTCCCAAATAAATACATTATATTCAAATACATTCATAGTGTGAATTAATAGATTTTATTTTAATTTTGATTTTAAAAATTTTAATTAATATTTGTGACGATAATTACTAATTATTGACTTATCTTGTTAATGATCTTCATAGTTTGAAAAAAAGTAGACTCCCACGTTCCAATCCCTATAAAAGTAAGAAACTGAAGCAAAGGCAAAGTCACCACACATCATAATTCTTGTCATTATTCTTTGTTATTGTTCACAATATCAGAAAGTTTGAGTCTTTAAAGGAAGTTTTTAAGGTTCGATATATTAAAGAAACATTCAAACACATAACTTCATTGTTAAACATTATAAATGATATAGAGTATATGCTAGTCTATGAGACAATATGTTTCGTTTGGTTGGATAATGTCTTATTATGGCTAGTGCCTTACACTTCCTCTAATTAAAAAAAAAATATTTTCTCTTAAAAAACTTTTTATTTATTATCATTAAAATATGAAAGCTTGAATGATTCAAGATTGTCTTTTAATTTAACAAAAAATTATAGAAATTAAAAGATATAAGGAAAGAAAATTAGAGAAGATAAAGGAAATTTCTTTTCTAAATTCAGTCATTATTTGAAGAATATTATTGACTATACCTATAATAATTGTGATTACCAAAATTAGTTTATAATCAACATTTAGAGTTTTATAATCAACGCATAATCAACGCAGTAACACCAGCTGCCATCCTTTTTCTTCACAAGGAAGACGGGGAAGATAATAGGCTCTAGCTTAGTTGAATCATGTCAAATTCAAGCATGGTGGTGATGACCTATTTCTCTAATTCAATTTTTTTGACAAGGACATACATTAACAGGGGTACTGTTTGGAAGGAGGTGTATATGGTGGGCAATGTTACGGTGAGGTGGAAGTTGGCAAAGTTAATGGAAAAGGGTGTCAAATTGGGTACGCAGGGACTCAAGGGTTCGGTGTGGTAGAGTCGTGGTAGGAATGGAAGGGTTGGGGAGATGAGTTTTTGGGTAGTAAAATGGCTTAAGTGAAATAGGGTTAGGCAACATGTGTCTAGAAAAGTTATTTGGTTTTTTGGGTTGAGGTGAGTTTCGATCAGAGAGGTACATCAGCATGTAAAACCGGTACCATAGGGTGGGCATGCGCTTAAACTGTATGGTAAAAGAAGTGTAATCTATAGTAACTAGTCCAAGATCCTTAAGCCATTGGACCCTTAGGACAATATCCGCCCCCAATAATAGGGAGAACATGCAAGTTTATAGTGAAATGGTGGCCCTGGATATGAATCGACGAGAGGAAAAATGTGCTCATACTAGTGGATGGAGTCATTGCCAACCATGATAGGGAGAGAGGAAGAGGCCATACACACGTGCTTGCACAAAATTGTATGTACTACCACCGTCCATGAGAATCGTGACCTTGGATGACAAATGTAACCATAAAGACGAAAAGTCTCAAGGGCTAGAGAGAGCATTAAGGCTAATCTACGGTGTGAACTCATCATCGACATAAGTTAGTGTGGGGTCCAAGAATGCCACATGTGGCGAAGATGGGTCAAATAAATGCGTGTCCTCGTCATTAATAATTAAGAGAAACATATGCTTTTTACAGTGAAGGTTGGGGATGAATTTCTCATCACAATGGTAACATAAATGGTGAGACATGATCTCATCAAAGAAAATGCATTTTAAAGCTAATTTATGGGAAGAAGAGGGTGAGATTGGTGAGTAGGGAGGGTGGGTAATGGCGGGAATGGATGTGCGATGGGAATGATGGAATCCCCGACAACGGTCATTGATTTCATCTTCTTAGAGTTTGGTGAGCACAACTGCCTAGGAAAGTGATAAGGGTTGTTGGGATGGACTTCCCATTTAAGCTCGAGGTAGAGGCTTGAGATGAAGCAACTCAAGGGGAATTATGGTGCAAGAGCAACAAGGCGGTTGGCCAAACGTTCGAACTCTGTAAGATATTCATTGATTGTGCCTCACTGGTTTAACATGAAAAGGGTCCCCGATGGATCCTCATAGAAAGATGGGACAAAACTAGATTCAGGTGCTTGAAGAAAAGTAGGCCACAATATAACAAACCCCATTACAAAATATCCAATAGTACCAAATTAACTCAGGATAGTCCATGAAAATGAGGCCTTGGTAGTCGAAGAACTAAGAAATTTTAAAAATCTAGTCGAAAAGGTCATGGCCATCAAAGCACGGGACCTCGAGCTTGATGGGAGGGTGATGATTAGTGGTGGTGGAATGGTGATGTTGGGTGAGGATGGTTGTTGGGTCAAGGCTGTAAGTCAGTTGAGGATGTAGTTGACTTTAATAGGGTAAGTTCATTATAGTTGTTTTTCATGGTGACTTGTGTATTAGTAAGGTGGAGGATGACATCCTCGAGATGATCGATTGTGATTTTTCTGGTATTGTGTCTAGTCATGGTGAAAGGGCAGGTCGCACTAGTTGATAGGATATACTAATAGCTCGTCTAATGCTAAAGGAGGAATAGTTTGCTAATTCTCTACTATTTTCATTCATTTCTGCATTATTTATACAACATATTGTTGGCAATCCTTGGCTCAACGCAATTTAGATTGTGTTTGGATTGAAGGATGGATTTGGGGGAGTGGAAAAGGAAAGATTTGAAGAGAAAGAGCGTAGAAAATGAGGTTGTTTGGATTAAAGAAAAGATAATGGAAAGTGAGTAGAAAGTTTGTGAGAATTTATGTAGAAATTGATTGATGTAATAGATAAAAATTAAAAATTTAATAGATGAATACGTAATTTATACTTACCCTTGGATTAAAAATGAGTAGAATATTATTTATTGTAAATAATAATAATTACAATAAAATTATATTAATAGGTATAATTTATTAAAAAATAAATAATAATAATATTAATAATAATGATAATAATAATAATATTTATAATAATAACAAAATATATTATGATAATTATATTTTCTAATATTATTTTATTAATGTTTATGAAAGTGTTATTATTTTGATTTTATAAACATGTATTACTTTATTTTTTATATATTTCTATTTTTTTATGTCAATATATAAATAATAGAATTTTCTTAATATAAAAAAATGTACAATAAAATTTTTGAAAGTTAAATAATAAATTAAAAAAATTGATAAATCATTGACATAAATTAGAATGAAATGAAGATACATTTGTTAATTGTACAAGTTAATTTTTACCAATTAAAAAATTAAGAAATTTTTAACATTACAAAGTAGATGGATAATAACATATTTGTAAAATGGAACAGAAAATACAATCTAGTCATCAATTAAGTAAACAATAATTAAATATGACCAGAACGGCTCGTTCTAGGATTACAAATTAACCCACAACGGTCATGTGTGGAACGGCCCGTTCCCAAAGTGGAACGGTCCGTTCTGAGTTCGCATATTTGCAAGAATATGCCACCATAATCGATTATGTATGGCACATAATCGATTATAAGCTGGCATAATCAATTATGCCTCAACATAATCGACTATGCCAGCCTATAATCGATTATGTGTCATGCATAATCGATTATGTGCCTCCATTCTTAATCTCTTTGCAGTCTTTGGGGCAGGGGTATTATTGGGTTTTCTCATTTCTTACGTGGCTTTCATCTCTTTTCTTCGCAACTTCGCGAGGACGTTCTCCCGCTTTTCTTCACTTTTCTTTCAGTGCAAATCAGCAGAAACAAACGTGAAGTTTCTTCGCTTTTCGTTCATCGTGAATAGTAAATCCCCTAAAACAAACAGGGCTTAGGGGAAAAGGAATCTATTAGAATGAAAATAATGCACGTGACAATTACAACCAATTAATATCATAATAGTATCTTATCCTTCCTGATTGACTATAACCAATTACACAAAGTGAGGAAAGTATGTGGGCCTCTTGATTCTCCTCCTGGGCCTAG